TCAGAAAATCCAAATTGCACAATTACAAATTTCCGAACCAAATAAGCGGAGAATTGGGAAAACTGGGAATTAACAAACAATTAAACCCAATTCCCTGGTTTATTTCAGTGCAATAAACTAAATCTAATTCAAGAAATAACGATTCATCACCTTCTCCCGCGGAAGCCCCTTGCTTTGCTGGACCGTGGCATTCTTGGACGTGTAGCCTGCTGGATCACTTCTTGTGGACGTGCAATTCTCCAAGGACGCTCCCCTCTTCTAATGATGCACCCCGTCCATTCAATCCCTTCAGCACGTGAAGTGCTCAAGTGTTTTGGACATCCCAAAGATAACTGCTGGTGGAAACGTGAAGGTGTACGTGGGGTTCTGAATGGATTACGCTTTGCCCTCTTCGGGACCGTCAAGCTGACCTTGCCAAGAAGATCAACTTCCGTGTGCACCTCATGTTTGCAGCGTGTCGCCCCATCTCCAAACTTGTTGGACCAAGGTTGCCTCTTCAAAGCTTGCTGGAAGCGTGATGCCGTTTTGGTGGCAGAGTTTGTGGAAATGAAAAAAAAATTACACAGCGACGAAGGAAGAGGAAGAAGATGAACCAGGTCGCGACATTTACCGACGGATTTACGAAGGTCTAGATCCTGCGGTATTACGAAGCTGTACCGACGGCAAAAGCCTGTCGGGTAAGTACACGGCAAAAATCCGTCGTAGATAAAGCCGTTACGCTGCTAAATTGCTAATTACCGACGGATTGGACATTTACCGACGAATACGAAGTATGACCTCGGTAATCCCCCTCAATATTCTTGTAGTGTTTGTTTGTGCGGTGTTTTCAGGTGCCGAAAATCACCGCGGAGGGGCAAAACAGCAGGGTGGGGGGGCCAGAATGGATCCTGCCTAGTACCGCTCGTGGTAAAATCCCACTAAGCGTATCTAAATGGGCTTGACCAGTTTTCTGGTAATTTTATGGGATGGGCCCTAATTTCTGTATGTTTTTTAGAATAGTATATAAGCTTTAGGACTTCTAGGGTTTGTATCTTGGCGGTGGCAGGAAGAGAGAGAGAAACATACATTTCACCCCTTGGGGGTTTTCGATTGGGAGATGGGTGACGGCTCTCCTCTTCTCTTTCTAGGGTTTTTCTATTCTTTCATTCTTTCATTCATATTCATCTGTTAGTTCATGACATGGGGTAACTATGCTTGGGTGTGGAAAAAACTCTGTGTTGTTGGGAAAAGCCATGTAACCTCTATTGACTCTCATGATATGGAAATTTTGTTCGTTCAAACATCTTTATAGATGACATGACTTCTTCATTATTTTAGGTTTTTCTTCTTAATTCAAGATGCCATTGTTTAACTCATTGATGTCATGATTATATTTTTGTCGATCTGGACTAAGGGGAAATCGAAGCCGGGAAGGGAGGAAATTTCCCCGCCAAAAAGCGTATTGCCCCTACGACATAGGAGATTGGGAGGTTGGTTGCCTTTAAACGGATTTGTGCTTCAGGAATTTAATTATTAGGGATGGCTAGGATTGTTATGGAACTCATAATTCGATAGGCTTTCTCGCTGGACATCGGGTATGGTAAATTAGAGAGTGACATTAACATTGATGAAAAAGAATGATGCAGTCCTAAAATATATGAGAGTGGATAAGATGAAATTGATTGCCCCAACAACATACTCATCCACATATTTCAATTCACGTTTTTTGTTTCTTCTTTCCCATTAATCATCACATGCATACATATTTACTTTTTGTCTTTTGCATTTGAAACTTATAACAATTTGTTCTCAAGTCTTAAATAATCAAGAAATCATATAACTAACTAGGTCGTGAGTCCTTTGGAAGAACGATACTTGGTCTTACCGAGTTTATTATTTGATACGATTCGGTCACACTTTCCGAAGGTTAAAAAAGTTTTTGGCGTCGTTTTTCGGTGTTCATAAGTTTGTCATCAGCAACCCAGTGTTTTAAAAACTTTTATTTTGTTTACTGTTCTTTAGTTTGGATTTTTGAATTTGATTTCTGTTTGTTTTGTGTTTGTTTGATTCCAGTGTGCTTAGTCTGTAATAACTGAATGTTATGTTTGAGAAGTGAACAGAAATTAATTGATTGATTTGAGTGTTGTTGTGAGGGTTAGGGATAAGAAACTGGAAAAAACTAAGTTGAATCTCAGAACCCAGGGCCAAGAATACCCAAAAGAAGCCAAAAACAAAGTGGTAAAAGTGCCGCCCGCCGCTTGAGCGCCCTCTGAGGGGCGCCCGGGCGGCGCGACTGCTAACCCGGTTTTTAATTGAGCGCTTGAGCGGGATTTTGGCCCACATCATTCTTTTTACACTCTAGGTGATGGGAAACCCTTTAGGGACTTCCGATCAAAAGAAGTATAAACTAAAACTAAGACTAAAGAAAGGGAAGTAGAATAAAGATTGCTAAAGCTCTTTCCTTATCTAAGTCTTAGATAGATTCTCTTTAACTAATTCCTTTTACCTTGTTTTGTAGGACAATAATAAAGGTTGGAAGGATCCTAGGAAGTTGCCAAGCAAGAGGGAACAAAGGAGGCCAAGAAGAGTACAAGAATTTCACATGGCGCTCAGCGCACGCGTTGTGCCGCTCAACGACAGCGGGACTGACTTCTCTTATATTTGAGCACGTTTTCAATGTTTACCATATGGAACATGTGGCCAGCTGTATAGCTTTCCCTGCACACTTCTCGTAGAGCTTCATGCACATTGCTAATATGTCGAGTAGCTTTCTAGGCACGTTTCTCTTCATCTATAAAAGAGAAGTCAAATCCTTTGTAATGGTAACTTGAGTGATATAGTGAATTGCTGCCAAATTGGATTTCTAGCCACTTCTCCAGGTTCATTGCATTATGCCACTTTAGCACACTTATCCTCTAGCTTCCTTCCCTCTTGGAAGGCTTTTTGAGTTAGAGACTTCGCTTACACACTTCCAAACACCGAAGCACATTTTCACAAACACCTTGTATGCACCAGATCAACCATCAACTTCTTCCATTCCGCTACCACTTTCTGGTTCGAGGAGCTGCTCATTCTTGAAGATTGGAGCTGCTTCCATCACTAGGGTTCGCCCAAGCCTCTTCTCTCAGATTCTCCTCACTCTAGCCTCCCTAAACATTTCTCCCAAGCTCTCTCTTCACTTTCCCCTTCACTTTTCCACTAAAAACCCTACTTCTCACTTGCTTTTCACTTTTCAATCATCAAATTTTGGGGTTTTTAATTGTGTGGTTGCTAGGGTCAGATTTGTGCACTCTATTTGAGCTTGAATCTCTGTATCTTTGTCTTCAACCAAGTCAGTTCTTGTTATGTTGAAAAATGTTGATGAGAAAGTTTGATTTTTGATGTTATATACTGTCTGTTAACGGTTGCAAATACCGTTATTTGTGATGTCATTTTGATACTAAATACACCCATTTTCACTTAGAAATTGGCTTAGACTCATTCTTTTTCATTAAGTTGTGTGAATAAGAGAGTTGACGTTGAATTTGATGATTTTATGACTAGTTTCCCTTGTTTTGATAGGTAATGCGAGAATGCGGAAAGCAGAGATGAAGTGCAAAGCAGTTAGAGCTCAAAAAGGCCTGCAAAAGCACCAAAAGAAGGGACCGCACGAAGCTTGGGCGCTCTCCTAGGCCGCTTGAGCGGCGGACCCCGAAGCTTGGGCGTCCAATTGAAGGCTCCAGCCCTATATGAGGATCGTCCATAGCCTGGGCACCCTAAATGGGGCGCCCGACCATCGTGCGTCGTGGATTAGGCCCAGTTTTTGCTTTGTTTCGACTCTTTTGGACCGGGCCTGATGAACAATTTTTCAATCTCCGAAAACGGAGTCAAAAACTTGTTAACCCTCTGCAAGTGTAACCGAATCATATCAAGTAATAAAAAATTGTAAGACCAAGTATTATTTCCCAAGAGACTCACGGCACTAAACAGTTATGTGATTACTCAACTAATTAAGACTTTAAAAAAAATATTTGGGGTTTTTGAATGTAAATGCAATAAAATAAACATGAATGCAATTTGATCAATTGAGGTTAAACACAAGAAAGAATGGATGAAGTTGATGATATTGTTGTTGGGTTCAGATTTCACCTAATTTACTCTCATGCATTTATGAATTCGCCTTTCTTTTCATTAATGTTAATGCCACTCTCTAAAGTACCTTAAACCCGATGTCTCGCTGACGAAAGCCTATCCTTAATATGAGTTCATACAATTCCTAGCATCCCTAATAATTAATTCTGAAGCACAAAAGCTTAAAGGCAACCAACCCTCATATCCCTATGTCTAGGCAATACTGCTTTTGGGAGAATTTCCCCAGTTCTAGATTTCCCCGTATGTGTCCATATCGACAAAATCAATAATCATGACATCGAATGAGTTAAACAATGCATGCTTTGAGTAAAGAGGAAAAACCCTAACAATTAATGAAAGAAAGCATGTATCTTATAAAAGATCTTGAAGAACAAATTCAATACATGAGAGTTTAATAAGGTTACATCTTTCCCAACAACAATAAGGGTTAGCCCTCCATCGTCATGGAAGAACTAGATGAATAATGGAATGAAAGAATGAAAGAGATAGAAAAACCCGAGAATCACTAGTGGAAAAATAACATTTTATGACGATCATATTATAACGTAGTTATGAAAATTAGTTATAATATCTAATACGGTGGCAAACTTGTAAATAATTTAGTTCATATTATAATGGAGTTATGAAAATCAGTTATAATATCTAATACGGTGGCAAACTTGTAAATAATTTAATTCATATTATAACGGAGTCATGAATATCAGTCATGATATAAAATGCGTGACATAAGTTTAAAAGATATTATAACGGAGGTAAAGACCTTTGTTATAATACATGAGTGGATAGAAAATTTTGGTAATATATTATGCCTGCTTTTGAAAAAACGGTTATAATATCTCTTTAACCGTCTTGACTTCATCAATGGGTCGTTTACTCTTAATCAACTTCACACAGATATTCACACAGAAACCCTAACTGGCAGGGCACCATCAGGTCTCTCGGTTGTAACATTTCATCACAAGAGCACATCTTCATCATAAGCTTTTCACTCTCGCTTGAGAATTTTTAAGCCGTAAGTTTCCATTTCTCTTCACATATCTGCATTTTCGTTTCATTCATCATCCAACCACATCTACTGCTAGGGTTTCTCACAAACCTTCATCTTTTTTGCCTTTACCTTCGATTCCACCGATTGAAATATCATTTTCCACATTTTCCACCGATTATAATCACATTCTACCGATTATAATCCCTTTCCACCAATTAAACATTGATTTACACCGATCAATCGGTCAATTTAAGGTTTCTACTCCATCTTAGGGTTTTTCGCATCGAATCCTAAGCATAACTTCTCGCTTAGAGTTCTCGTCTTTGATTCTCTCTGGATCTCGAGCTTGTTCTCAAGTTTCTACTCCATTCCACTGCGTCTTCTCTCTAAGGAAGCTTAAGGAGGTCCGAATCGTGTTCGCGTTGCTTCGATCAACTTTTCCTCAGGTCGTCTTCCATCAACTCATTGCTTCGAAGTTGTTGTCAGGGTGGATGGCTTGCTTTACAGGGGTGTTGAGGCAGTGTGACATAGTTATAAGGTACGTGGTTTCTTGGGTTAATGTGCTTTCAGGGTCAATGACCATAAACAAAAACAGGTGAAGAAGAGCAGAGAACAATGAGTGTTTGGTCCAAAAACTTGAGCTCAGTATTCTATGCAGTTTCGTACCATCCCATTCAAGCTGACAGCATCGATGACATGGATGTTGTTCCTCACGACAATGCTGTTTATCGTGCTTAACTCTGTTCCTCTATTGGCCTCTGTCTGTTTTTCTTTTTCCTTCACTTTTTAATAAATTATTATAATTTTGGTTCCTTTCTAACCCTTACTAACCCCATAAACAATTGATAGTTTTTTTCTTTTTTTACGGATTTGCTTTTGCAGCCAGCGACTATATCCTGCACTTATGTATGGGCTACCTGGCAAGGACTTTTGTATGTACTAAACTCTTTAGTTAGAACTTGTGTGTGCAATAAACATTGGTCTCAAGCTTTGGAATGGTTGTTGAATTTTATAATGTGTTGTTGCGTCTTTGCCTGCCCATAAAATAAATGTTGTCTGGTGTATTTACGTATCTATTGGTTGAGCTCTTGATACTGCTGAAATGCTTGTCCAATTCTTCATACATTTTTACATTGGTATTCCTTTGGTGAAAATTTCTTTAGAGTTGATTTTTCAGGGAATGTGGATTCCAAAAACAAGATATCACTGCACTGTGAATTGAACTGACATCTAACCCTTTTTATAATGCTTTGTTTTTTGTCTTGTGTGTTTTATTTACATTGTCTCCCTTTTAATGCTTTGTTTTTTATGAGGTATAGGAGTTTGCTATGATCTGTGTTTATATTTGTTTTTACATCTTATTCAGTTGATTTGTTTCACTTTTGAGGCCATTGGAGAGGATTATTCTGTTGAACCCGCTGATACCAGGAGACCATTCCGTGCTCTCCTTGATATTGGTCTTATCAGGACTACAATGGGAAATCGTGTCTTTGGTTCCCTTAAGGTGATCTATATGCAATGCTACTTGGTTTGTTTCTGATTTATTAGTTGATTCTTTGGGAAACATATTCTTAATGCATCATGTCCTCTATTCATATAGTAAAGAGAACGAAGATCTTTCAGCAAAGGCAAAGGCAAAGTTCAGCATATCTTTCAGCAAAGGCCTAGTTATGAAGTAGCCACACCATTATGTATATACTTTTTTTTTGCATTTTTCTAGGTAATAATCATGATTAGGCCGTATTAGTAAAATTATATATAGTTCAATTTTGATGAGTTGAAATTGATTCTTTCTAGACTTTAGCTTTTTTGCTTTTAAATCCTGTCATGTATTAATCATTCTTGTAATGTTGTACAGAGTATCTGTTCCTCATTATTAGAAACATGGTTGGTTATTAATTGAAATTAATCAAACCTAGCCAATGGCAAAACCTTTTCTTTTTCATGTTTTGGAAGTGAATCTGTATAATTTGAAATGGATATTCAAATATGCTTTAGTTTATCAAAAGAGGGTTTCGAACCGTATGATAGCTTTTTAAAATTTTAATTAAGAATACGAGAAAAATTAAATAAAAGAGGATAATACTAGAAAATTTGATTGGATGTCAAAATGTAAGCATGAAATTTTTTTTATATAAAAAACAACCTTTTATAAGGTACATGATAACCTATGTTATAATAGGTTAATTATGATATTATGATAGGTAAAAGGAACTACGTTATAATATGCTGAATCTATTATAACGTAATTTTTAGCTACGTTATAAAATGTGCAGACCTATTATAACGCCCAGAACTATATCTCCAGTTTGTACGTTATAATAGGTCATTTTTGTATGTTATAAAATGTGATTTTTGTACTAGTGAAAGAGAAGAGGAGAGTCGTCACCATCTCCAAATCTACTCCCAAGGGGTGAAAAGTGTGTTTCTGTGCTTAAGCAATCAAAAGATACTAACCCTAGGAAGACTAAAGCCTTATATAGGCATCTAAATATTACAGAAAAGTAAGCCCAAGCCCATAAGAGCCTTATATAGACTTCTAAATATTACAGAAAATTAAGCCCAAGCCCATAAGAATGCCAGAAAACAAATCCAAGCCCATAAGAATGCCGCTCAGCAGTAAATACCACTCAGCGATACGTGCACGTCTTCAATTCTGCCCCTCAGCGGCAGTTATTGCCCCTCAATGGTGACTGCGGGTCTTCAAAGTGCCGCTCAGCGGTAAATGGCGCTGAGCGGTACTTGCAGCTTCTTCCTTTTATGCACTTTTTCTTCCTTTTCTAGGTTCCAACTCCTTGCTACTTCAACTTCTTCATCCAATTCATCCTAATTCTTGTCAAAACAAGGAAAAACAAGCATAAAACCCATCCAAATCTCTTATTTTCGAAATTTAAACAAAAGCATGATTCCAAGCTAGTTTTTAAGTCATAAAGGGTGTTTTTAATATTAAAATTAAGTATAAAAATAACGGTTTTTCAACCATTATCAGGGCCCTGTTTCTATTCTTTTCTAACTTTATTTAAAGGACCCAGGCACTCTAGGTTTTGTATCTCTGTCTAGAGCAACACAACAACACACTCTTCTACTCTTTAAAGGCGAATCTGGAGGCGGGAGTGATAACAATTGAAAAACTGTTATTTTTAGAGTTAATTTTGACCTTAAAGACAACCTTTATGACTTAGAAACTAGCTTGTAATCATGTTTTTGCTTATCTTTTGGAAATAAGAGAGTTGGATAGGATTTATGCTATGTTTTCCTTGTTTTTGCAGGTTTTAAGACGAATTGAATGGAAGAAGTGAAGTAGCCATAAGTTGGAATCATAAAAGGAAGAAAAAGTGCATAAAAGAAGAGCCGCAATTACCGCTCAGCGGTAATTTTCGCTAAGCGGCGCTCTGAAGTCCTGCAGTCACCGCGGAGGGGCAAAACTACAGTTGAGCGTCAAATAGAAGAACCGCACTTACCGCTGAGCGCCATTGTAATGGGACTTGGGCCATTTTTCTGTAATCTTTAAGAGTCTATATAAGGTTTTAGTTGACCTAGGGTTAGGATCTTTTGGCAGAGCGAAGCAAAATCACATTTTCTTCACCCATTAGAGGATGATTTTGGATGCTCATGCTCCACTCTTCAAATTCTAGGGTTCTATCTTTCATTCTTTTATTATTTTTCATCTAGTTTCACCATGATTATGGTGAACTAAACCTTCATTGTTGTTGGGAAATCAATGTAATCCTTTGAAACTCTCATGTATTGAATTGGTTCTTTAATTCATATGTTTTCTTTAATTAATTGTTAGGGTTTTTCTTCTATACTTTATCCATGCTTTGTTTAACTCATTCAATTGCATGATGATTGATTTTATTTGTATGGACACATATAGATAAATCCAGACATGAAGAAATTCTCCCAATACTAATATTGCCTAGACATAGGGATAGGAGGATTGGTTACTTTTAAGCTTCTGTGCGAATGTAATGCATGAATAATTGCTAGGGAGACAAGACATTGTAAACTAGTGATTAGAAGTAGGCTTTCTTCACCAACACATTGGGTTTAAGGTAAATTAGAAAGTGGCATTAACATTAATGAAGAAGATGAATTCTTGAATACATGAGAGTGGGTAAGATAAATTGAAAACCCCAACAACATCATCATTCCATATATTTCAATCACTTTTGCTTCTTTTGATCCAATTCATCAATCCATGCATTCATATTTACTTTTCGGTATTTGCATTTAAACCTACAAGAATGTGTTTTACAAGTCTTATTTAATCAATAAATCATACAACTGTTTAGGCCGTGAGTCCTTTGGGAAACGATACTTGGTCTTACCATTTTATTATTACTTGATCTGATTCGATACACTTGCCGAGGGTTAACAGGGAGTTTCATCTTCTACTCTTAGGGTTTCACTATCTCATGCTTTTCCATTATTCATCTAGTTTCTCCTTGTCTATGGGAAACTAAACTCTATTTGTTGTTAGGGGATGATGTAACCTTGTGAACTCTCATGTATTTGAATTGATTCTTAATTTATATGTTTTTTCATTAATTGTTAGGAAATTCATTTGTTTCAATGCTTGCTCTATTTAACTCATTTAGTAGCATGATTTCTGAATTGCATGAGTGTCGGAAGGTTCCTTACAATTCAGGTTCTTGTTGAATTCTCCCAAGNACTAACCCCATAAACAATTGATAGTTTTTTTCTTTTTTTATGGATTTGCTTTTGCAGCCAGCGACTATATCCTGCACTTATGTATGGGCTACCTGGCAAGGACTTTTGTATGTACTAAACTCTTTAGTTAGAACTTGTGTGTGCAATAAACATTGGTCTCAAGCTTTGGAATGGTTGTTGAATTTTATAATGTGTTGTTGCGTCTTTGCCTGCCCATAAAATAAATGTTGTCTGGTGTATTTACGTATCTATTGGTTGAGCTCTTGATACTGCTGAAATGCTTGTCCAATTCTTCATACATTTTTACATTGGTATTCCTTTGGTGAAAATTTCTTTAGAGTTGATTTTTCAGGGAATGTGGATTCCAAAAACAAGATATCACTGCACTGTGAATTGAACTGACATCTAACCCTTTTTATAATGCTTTGTTTTTTGTCTTGTGTGTTTTATTTACATTGTCTCCCTTTTAATGCTTTGTTTTTTATGAGGTATAGGAGTTTGCTATGATCTGTGTTTATATTTGTTTTTACATCTTATTCAGTTGATTTGTTTCACTTTTGAGGCCATTGGAGAGGATTATTCTGTTTAACCCGCTTATACCAGGAGACCATTCCGTGCTCTCTTTGATATTGGTCTTATCAGGACTACAATGGGAAATCGTGTCTTTGGTTCCCTTAAGGTGATCTATATGCAATGCTACTTGGTTTGTTTCTGATTTATTAGTTGATTCTTTGGGAAACATATTCTTAATGCATCATGTCCTCTATTCATATAGTAAAGAGAACGAAGATCTTTCAGCAAAGGCAAAGGCAAAGTTCAGCATATCTTTCAGCAAAGGCCTAGTTATGAAGTAGCCACACCATTATGTATATACTTTTTTTTGCATTTTTCTAGGTAATAATCATGATTAGGCCGTATTAGTAAAATTATATATAGTATAATCGTATATGAAGCGGAAAGTTGTTCCAATAATTGCTTTCCTTTTCTGTTTCAGTTTAGCTTTATTATAGTTCAATTTTGATGAGTTGAAATTGATTCTTTCTAGACTTTAGCTTTTTTGCTTTTAAATCCTGTCATGTATTAATCATTCTTGTAATGTTGTACAGAGTATTTGTTCCTCATTATTAGAAACATGGTTGGTTATTAATTGAAATTAATCAAACCTAGCCAATGGCAAAACCTTTTCTTTTTCATGTTTTGGAAGTGAATCTGTATAATTTGAAATGGATATTCAAATATGCTTTAGTTTATCAAAAGAGGGTTTCGAACCGTATGATAGCTTTTTAAAATTTTAATTAAGAATACGAGAAAAATTAAATAAAAGAGGATAATACTAGAAAATTTGATTGGATGTCAAAATGTAAGCATGAAATTTTTTTTATATAAAAAACAACTTTTATAACGTACATGATAGGTAAAAAGAACTACATTATAATATGCTAAATCTATTATGATAGGTAAAAGGAACTACGTTATAATATGCTGAATCTATTATAACGTAATTTTTAGCTACGTTATAAAATGTGCAGACCTATTATAACGCCCAGAACTATATCTCCAGTTTGTACGTTATAATAGGTCATTTTTGTATGTTATAAAATGTGATTTTTGTACTAGTGAAAGAGAAGAGGAGAGTCGTCACCATCTCCAAATCTACTCCCAAGGGGTGAAAAGTGTGTTTTTGTGCTTAAGCAATCAAAAGATACTAACCCTAGGAAGACTAAAGCCTTATATAGGCATCTAAATATTACAGAAAAGTAAGCCCAAGCCCATAAGAGCCTTATATAGACTTCTAAATATTACAGAAAATTAAGCCCAAGCCCATAAGAATGCCAGAAAACAAATCCAAGCCCATAAGAATGCCGCTCAGCAGTAAATACCACTCAGCGATACGTGCACGTCTTCAATTCTGCCCCTCAGCGGCAGTTATTGCCCCTCAATGGTGACTGCGGGTCTTCAAAGTGCCGCTCAGCGGTAAATGGCGCTGAGCGGTACTTGCAGCTTCTTCCTTTTATGCACTTTTTCTTCCTTTTCTAGGTTCCAACTCCTTGCTACTTCAACTTCTTCATCCAATTCATCCTAATTCTTGTCAAAACAAGGAAAAACAAGCATAAAACCCATCCAAATCTCTTATTTTCGAAATTTAAACAAAAGCATGATTCCAAGCTAGTTTTTAAGTCATAAAGGGTGTTTTTAATATTAAAATTAAGTATAAAAATAACGGTTTTTCAACCATTATCAGGGCCCTGTTTCTATTCTTTTCTAACTTTATTTAAAGGACCCAGGCACTCTAGGTTTTGTATCTCTGTCTAGAGCAACACAACAACACACTCTTCTACTCTTTAAAGGCGAATCTGGAGGCGGGAGTGATAACAATTGAAAAACTGTTATTTTTAGAGTTAATTTTGACCTTAAAGACAACCTTTATGACTTAGAAACTAGCTTGTAATCATGTTTTTGCTTATCTTTTGGAAATAAGAGAGTTGGATAGGATTTATGCTATGTTTTCCTTGTTTTTGCAGGTTTTAAGACGAATTGAATGGAAGAAGTGAAGTAGCCATAAGTTGGAATCATAAAAGGAAGAAAAAGTGCATAAAAGAAGAGCCGCAATTACCGCTCAGCGGTAATTTTCGCTAAGCGGCGCTCTGAAGTCCTGCAGTCACCGCGGAGGGGCAAAACTACAGTTGAGCGTCAAATAGAAGAACCGCACTTACCGCTGAGCGCCATTGTAATGGGACTTGGGCCATTTTTCTGTAATCTTTAAGAGTCTATATAAGGTTTTAGTTGACCTAGGGTTAGGATCTTTTGGCAGAGCGAAGCAAAATCACATTTTCTTCACCCATTAGAGGATGATTTTGGATGCTCATGCTCCACTCTTCAAATTCTAGGGTTCTATCTTTCATTCTTTTNCATCGAATGAGTTAAACAATGCATGCTTTGAGTAAAGAGGAAAAACCCTAACAATTAATGAAAGAAAGCATGTATCTTATAAAAGATCTTGAAGAACAAATTCAATACATGAGAGTTTAATAAGGTTACATCTTTCCCAACAACAATAAGGGTTAGCCCTCCATCGTCATGGAAGAACTAGATGAATAATGGAATGAAAGAATGAAAGAGATAGAAAAACCCGAGAATCACTAGTGGAAAAATAACATTTTATGACGATCATATTATAACGTAGTTATGAAAATTAGTTATAATATCTAATACGGTGGCAAACTTGTAAATAATTTAGTTCATATTATAATGGAGTTATGAAAATCAGTTATAATATCTAATACGGTGGCAAACTTGTAAATAATTTAATTCATATTATAACGGAGTCATGAATATCAGTCATGATATAAAATGCGTGACATAAGTTTAAAAGATATTATAACGGAGGTAAAGACCTTTGTTATAATACATGAGTGGATAGAAAATTTTGGTAATATATTATGCCTGCTTTTGAAAAAACGGTTATAATATCTCTTTAACCGTCTTGACTTCATCAATGGGTCGTTTACTCTTAATCAACTTCACACAGATATTCACACAGAAACCCTAACTGGCAGGGCACCATCAGGTCTCTCGGTTGTAACATTTCATCACAAGAGCACATCTTCATCATAAGCTTTTCACTCTCGCTTGAGAATTTTTAAGCCGTAAGTTTCCATTTCTCTTCACATATCTGCATTTTCGTTTCATTCATCATCCAACCACATCTACTGCTAGGGTTTCTCACAAACCTTCATCTTTTTTGCCTTTACCTTCGATTCCACCGATTGAAATATCATTTTCCACATTTTCCACCGATTATAATCACATTCTACCGATTATAATCCCTTTCCACCAATTAAACATTGATTTACACCGATCAATCGGTCAATTTAAGGTTTCTACTCCATCTTAGGGTTTTTCGCATCGAATCCTAAGCATAACTTCTCGCTTAGAGTTCTCGTCTTTGATTCTCTCTGGATCTCGAGCTTGTTCTCAAGTTTCTACTCCATTCCACTGCGTCTTCTCTCTAAGGAAGCTTAAGGAGGTCCGAATCGTGTTCGCGTTGCTTCGATCAACTTTTCCTCAGGTCGTCTTCCATCAACTCATTGCTTCGAAGTTGTTGTCAGGGTGGATGGCTTGCTTTACAGGGGTGTTGAGGCAGTGTGACATAGTTATAAGGTACGTGGTTTCTTGGGTTAATGTGCTTTCAGGGTCAATGACCATAAACAAAAACAGGTGAAGAAGAGCAGAGAACAATGAGTGTTTGGTCCAAAAACTTGAGCTCAGTATTCTATGCAGTTTCGTACCATCCCATTCAAGCTGACAGCATCGATGACATGGATGTTGTTCCTCACGACAATGCTGTTTATCGTGCTTAACTCTGTTCCTCTATTGGCCTCTGTCTGTTTTTCTTTTTCCTTCACTTTTTAATAAATTATTATAATTTTGGTTCCTTTCTAACCCTTACTAACCCCATAAACAATTGATAGTTTTTTTCTTTTTTTACGGATTTGCTTTTGCAGCCAGCGACTATATCCTGCACTTATGTATGGGCTACCTGGCAAGGACTTTTGTATGTACTAAACTCTTTAGTTAGAACTTGTGTGTGCAATAAACATTGGTCTCAAGCTTTGGAATGGTTGTTGAATTTTATAATGTGTTGTTGCGTCTTTGCCTGCCCATAAAATAAATGTTGTCTGGTGTATTTACGTATCTATTGGTTGAGCTCTTGATACTGCTGAAATGCTTGTCCAATTCTTCATACATTTTTACATTGGTATTCCTTTGGTGAAAATTTCTTTAGAGTTGATTTTTCAGGGAATGTGGATTCCAAAAACAAGATATCACTGCACTGTGAATTGAACTGACATCTAACCCTTTTTATAATGCTTTGTTTTTTGTCTTGTGTGTTTTATTTACATTGTCTCCCTTTTAATGCTTTGTTTTTTATGAGGTATAGGAGTTTGCTATGATCTGTGTTTATATTTGTTTTTACATCTTATTCAGTTGATTTGTTTCACTTTTGAGGCCATTGGAGAGGATTATTCTGTTGAACCCGCTGATACCAGGAGACCATTCCGTGCTCTCGTTGATATTGGTCTTATCAGGACTACAATGGGAAATCGTGTCTTTGGTTCCCTTAAGGTGATCTATATGCAATGCTACTTGGTTTGTTTCTGATTTATTAGTTGATTCTTTGGGAAACATATTCTTAATGCATCATGTCCTCTATTCATATAGTAAAGAGAACGAAGATCTTTCAGCAAAGGCAAAGGCAAAGTTCAGCATATCTTTCAGCAAAGGCCTAGTTATGAAGTAGCCACACCATTATGTATATACTTTTTTTTTGCATTTTTCTAGGTAATAATCATGATTAGGCCGTATTAGTAAAATTATATATAGTTCAATTTTGATGAGTTGAAATTGATTCTTTCTAGACTTTAGCTTTTTTGCTTTTAAATCCTGTCATGTATTAATCATTCTTGTAATGTTGTACAGAGTATCTGTTCCTCATTATTAGAAACATGGTTGGTTATTAATTGAAATTAATCAAACCTAGCCAATGGCAAAACCTTTTCTTTTTCATGTTTTGGAAGTGAATCTGTATAATTTGAAATGGATATTCAAATATGCTTTAGTTTATCAAAAGAGGGTTTCGAACCGTATGATAGCTTTTTAAAATTTTAATTAAGAATACGAGAAAAATTAAATAAAAGAGGATAATACTAGAAAATTTGATTGGATGTCAAAATGTAAGCATGAAATTTTTTTTATATAAAAAACAACCTTTTATAAGGTACATGATAACCTATGTTATAATAGGTTAATTATGATATTATGATAGGTAAAAGGAACTACGTTATAATATGCTGAATCTATTATAACGTAATTTTTAGCTACGTTATAAAATGTGCAGACCTATTATAACGCCCAGAACTATATCTCCAGTTTGTACGTTATAATAGGTCATTTTTGTATGTTATAAAATGTGATTTTTGTACTAGTGAAAGAGAAGAGGAGAGTCGTCACCATCTCCAAATCTACTCCCAAGGGGTGAAAAGTGTGTTTCTGTGCTTAAGCAATCAAAAGATACTAACCCTAGGAAGACTAAAGCCTTATATAGGCATCTAAATATTACAGAAAAGTAAGCCCAAGCCCATAAGAGCCTTATATAGACTTCTAAATATTACAGAAAATTAAGCCCAAGCCCATAAGAATGCCAGAAAACAAATCCAAGCCCATAAGAATGCCGCTCAGCAGTAAATACCACTCAGCGATACGTGCACGTCTTCAATTCTGCCCCTCAGCGGCAGTTATTGCCCCTCAATGGTGACTGCGGGTCTTCAAAGTGCCGCTCAGCGGTAAATGGCGCTGAGCGGTACTTGCAGCTTCTTCCTTTTATGCACTTTTTCTTCCTTTTCTAGGTTCCAACTCCTTGCTACTTCAACTTCTTCATCCAATTCATCCTAATTCTTGTCAAAACAAGGAAAAACAAGCATAAAACCCATCCAAATCTCTTATTTTCGAAATTTAAACAAAAGCATGATTCCAAGCTAGTTTTTAAGTCATAAAGGGTGTTTTTAATATTAAAATTAAGTATAAAAATAACGGTTTTTCAACCATTATCAGGGCCCTGTTTCTATTCTTTTCTAACTTTATTTAAAGGACCCAGGCACTCTAGGTTTTGTATCTCTGTCTAGAGCAACACAACAACACACTCTTCTACTCTTTAAAGGCGAATCTGGAGGCGGGAGTGATAACAATTGAAAAACTGTTATTTTTAGAGTTAATTTTGACCTTAAAGACAACCTTTATGACTTAGAAACTAGCTTGTAATCATGTTTTTGCTTATCTTTTGGAAATAAGAGAGTTGGATAGGATTTATGCTATGTTTTCCTTGTTTTTGCAGGTTTTAAGACGAATTGAATGGAAGAAGTGAAGTAGCCATAAGTTGGAATCATAAAAGGAAGAAAAAGTGCATAAAAGAAGAGCCGCAATTACCGCTCAGCGGTAATTTTCGCTAAGCGGCGCTCTGAAGTCCTGCAGTCACCGCGGAGGGGCAAAACTACAGTTGAGCGTCAAATAGAAGAACCGCACTTACCGCTGAGCGCCATTGTAATGGGACTTGGGCCATTTTTCTGTAATCTTTAAGAGTCTATATAAGGTTTTAGTTGACCTAGGGTTAGGATCTTTTGGCAGAGCGAAGCAAAATCACATTTTCTTCACCCATTAGAGGATGATTTTGGATGCTCATGCTCCACTCTTCAAATTCTAGGGTTCTATCTTTCATTCTTTTATTATTTTTCATCTAGTTTCACCATGATTATGGTGAACTAAACCTTCATTGTTGTTGGGAAATCAATGTAATCCTTTGAAACTCTCATGTATTGAATTGGTTCTTTAATTCATATGTTTTCTTTAATTAATTGTTAGGGTTTTTCTTCTATACTTTATCCATGCTTTGTTTAACTCATTCAATTGCATGATGATTGATTTTATTTGTATGGACACATATAGATAAATCCAGACATGAAGAAATTCTCCCAATACTAATATTGCCTAGACATAGGGATAGGAGGATTGGTTACTTTTAAGCTTCTGTGCGAATGTAATGCATGAATAATTGCTAGGGAGACAAGACATTGTAAACTAGTGATTAGAAGTAGGCTTTCTTCACCAACACATTGGGTTTAAGGTAAATTAGAAAGTGGCATTAACATTAATGAAGAAGATGAATTCTTGAATACATGAGAGTGGGTAAGATAAATTGAAAACCCCAACAACATCATCATTCCATATATTTCAATCACTTTTGCTTCTTTTGATCCAATTCATCAATCCATGCATTCATATTTACTTTTCGGTATTTGCATTTAAACCTACAAGAATGTGTTTTACAAGTCTTATTTAATCAATAAATCATACAACTGTTTAGGCCGTGAGTCCTTTGGGAAACGATACTTGGTCTTACCATTTTATTATTACTTGATCTGATTCGATACACTTGCCGAGGGTTAACAGGGAGTTTCATCTTCTACTCTTAGGGTTTCACTATCTCATGCTTTTCCATTATTCATCTAGTTTCTCCTTGTCTATGGGAAACTAAACTCTATTTGTTGTTAGGGGATGATGTAACCTTGTGAACTCTCATGTATTTGAATTGATTCTTAATTTATATGTTTTTTCATTAATTGTTAGGAAATTCATTTGTTTCAATGCTTGCTCTATTTAACTCATTTAGTAGCATGATTTCTGAATTGCATGAGTGTCGGAAGGTTCCTTACAATTCAGGTTCTTGTTGAATTCTCCCAAGGGTAATATTTCTTAGGGATGAGGGTTTGAGTACTTGGTCATCTTAACCTCTTGATCTTCAGACTTAATTCTCTAGCAACGCTAGGAATTGCACGAACTAGTAATTAAGGCAGGCTTATTGCGCCGAGGGATCGGGTTCTAAGTAATTTAGTGAGTGATGTTAACATTAATGTAAAAAGAAGAATTCTTATATACATGAGAGTAAACTTGGTGAAATCAAACACTAACAACATATTCATCTCATATTAAACAACATCCGTTCATCTTTTTGTTAGTCTACTATTGATCAATTTGCATTCATATTTAATTTTATGTCTTTGCATTTGAAACCAACAATCTCGTTTTATTTAAGTCTTAATTAATTGAGTTATCACACAATTGTCTAGTGCGGAGAGTCTTCAGGGATACGATACCTGGTCTTACCATTTTATATTACTTGTGCGATTTTGTACACTTGCAAATCCATCAACAAGTTTTTGGCGCCGTTGTTGGGGACTCACGGTTTAAACTATTCTATTTGTGTGATTCTTAATTAACTTTGGCTTTATTCTATTTTACTTTATTTTATTTTATTTTATTCTATTTTATTTTATTTTATTTTATTGTATTTTATTCTATTTTATTTTATTTTCGTCTCTTTTATTTTTATTTTTATTTTTATAGCGTTTTGATTTTAGTTTATGCAGGATACAGCTAGGACTCGAAGCAACAAAAGTTCTGAACCTCTTTTTGAAGGACTTGAGACTAGTAGGAGGAGCAGGATATCCAAGGAATCTGCTCTAGAGATCCGTTCACCATTTGATCAGAGAAACATGGACAACAACGGTGGATAGATTGGTAGACGTACTTTGGCAGATTATGCCACCGTGATTGGCCCTCATCATTTTAACAGCATTGCAAAGTCGAGGGTCAATGCCACGAATATGGAGGTGAAGCCTGCGTTGATCCATCTTGTGAAGAGCAACCAGTTCAATGGATGATGGACAAATTTATGAACACCAAATTATGATGTCA